TTTTTTTTTTTTTTTTTTTTTTTTTTTTTTTTTTTTTTTTTTTAAGTTCCATGTATACTTGTTTATTTAAGTGCCAGCCCGCTATACATCTCTGCTCATACTTATCAATGCATTCTTCACGGATCGTTCTAACCCCTCAGTGTGCTCATACCTATCTATGCATGCTTCACGGATCGTTCTAACCCCTCAGTGTGCTCATACCTATCTATACATACTTCACGGATCGTTCTAACCCCTCAGTGTGCTCATACCTATCTATGCATGCTTCACGGATCGTTCTAACCCCTCAGTGTGCTCATACCTATCTATGCATGCTTCACGGATCGTTCTAAACCCTCAGTGTGCTCATACCTATCTATACATACTTCACGGATCGTTCTAACCCCTCAGTGTGCTCATACCTATCTATGCATGCTTCGCGGATCGTTCTAAACCCTCAGTGTGCTCATACCTATCTATACATTCTTCACGGATCGTTCTAACCCCTCAGTGTGCTCATACCTATCTATGCATGCTTCGCGGATCGTTCTAAACCCTCAGTGTGCTCATACCTATCTATACATTCTTCACGGATCGTTCTAACCCCTCAGTGTGCTCATACCTATCTATGCATGCTTCGCGGATCGTTCTAAACCCTCAGTGTGCTCATACCTATCTATACATTCTTCACGGATCGTTCTAACCCCTCAGTGTGCTCATACCTATCTATGCATGCTTCGCGGATCGTTCTAAACCCTCAGTGTGCTCATACCTATCTATACATACTTCACGGATCGTTCTAACCCCTCAGTGTGCTCATACCTATCTATGCATGCTTCGCGGATCGTTCTAAACCCTCAGTGTGCTCATACCTATCTATACATACTTCACGGATCGTTCTAACCCCTCAGTGTGCTCATACCTATCTATGCATGCTTCGCGGATCGTTCTGCAGTGTGCTAATATGCACTAATCGACTGGACATGTAGTGGGCGACATAGATACAATATCGGACGTCCTATCACACCAACATCACACCACCGCAGTATTACTACGACACACGACCAACGAGACAGGACACATACCCACACCGTTATTATGGCTAAATACGAAAAAAGTACGAGGACCTTTCTATCCAATTGGATGACGTTACTGCTATTACAAGGGATTCATTATTTTGTACAGGTAAGGGTACATCTTCTTTCAATATGGCATGTGTTTATGTACACTTTGTATCTTGTTACATATTCAAACATTAATTCACATTTTAAACAATTCAAATGCAACAGAGAATATTTAACTAACACACATTTGAAGATTGAACCCGTTGTATCACTTAGATTATATAAATGTTGAAGACGTACTAATATCTCTCTGTAATTATAGGTTAGATGCAGTACGAATGTGGGATCGGTATGTATTCAATGTTTGTAATCTTCAACAAGCTAAATGTTTCCAAAAAACACTATAAACAATGCACCATATTATATGTTTTGTCTTTAAAAGATAATAATTTTGAGATCTACTCGCATCTTCTTCGGTTCAGAACCTCGAAATGAAAATCAACATAGAGTCCTCTTCATTTTTTGGCATTGATCTACATAACTACAGCCATCCTCATCTCACCGTCAAACTTAAGCTTTAATATCTTTAATTTTCTCTTTCGATGAAGAAACCTACAATGCATCTCCTTAAAATTATATACTGTGTAGTCTACATACCGAAGTTGTCTCGTTATTACAGAGCCAGTTCTATGCATCAGACTTTTTCTAGATTGATGCTTATTTTAATCAATAAATTACATTGTCATGTTTTCTACCAGGGAGAGTGTACACGAAATAATATAATGTGATTGTATTGTCAATCATGATTAAATGCATGTCCACTGTACCTTAAATCGTTCACCACCGATAAACTATCTTGAATTTTACAGAGGATATATGACGATTGTCACATTGGTTTTATTATTGGTTTTATGATGTCTTTCCTTTGATTTTTGTGCCAAAGTTTTCTGTTGTTGTTATTTCATGTCGACATTCCTGTTGTTGTTGTTGTTGTTGTTATTATATGCCAATATTACCTTTTTAATTCTTTTTTGTTTATACTAAGCTTCATATTGTGTTAAGTTTCTTTTATTTCAATCAAAATATAATTTACTGTTTTTGAAGATTTAAGCTTTGTTGGAGAGATAAGATTCAAGAATTGATTGTGCTGCTTAAAATCACATTTCTACATAAATTAACCCAAATATCTTAAACGAGACCAACCTGTTAACGAAATACTGTGTAAGTGCAATTATTTACTTACTTTCGTAGGAAATTCTTCATGACAAAGATTGTTCAGCACATCCTTACTTATTTGTTTATATTTCATGCATCAAAATATGAACTTAGCTGTAATGTATGCAGGTTACCCATTTTTTGTCACACTTGTATCTCTGATAATAGCAATTTTTGGAAATGTGCGATAAAAAATATCACAAGAAAACTTTTTCAATATCATTCATTATCACATCGTGACCTGATATCAAGTTATCGGGATAATAAAATTAGGTCAGCAAAATATCCATATCTCTATCTTTAATGTTTTAGGCTCTGTCAACGAAGGCGTTGGTGATTATCAATTTGCTGCAATATGAAGATCAGGAACATCTTAAATGTGATACGTTTAAAACGAAATGTGATATCTATATGGTAGTTTGCACAGCTAAGTAAGTATGCTCGGCAAAACGCTTCTCTAGACATGTATTGAGTAATGAGTTCTGCATATATTATAAAAATAGTATAAGCAAATTTTCTCTTGTTTTCACATTTCGTTGAAATTCCATGTTTGTTACAGACCTAGCTCTGATATAATGTTATGATTATATTACCATTATGAAATGTCTATATAGCTTTGACCACGGACATGGATTGGCAACTCCAATTTCATCTCGCGTATGTATTGTCCACCTCTTGTATTTGTGCACCGAACCGTGACGGCCTGTGACCCTCTCGCTGGAGCCAATTTACATGTACTTCGCTTGCGTGCTATTTCACAGACCAGTTTCCGGTATCGATTCATGTAACCACGTTGTTTACCTAGGTGACGACAGACCGATATAGTGTTATACTGATTTGACAGATTAATAACATAATCTATTTATTAGCAAGATAAGTAGATCTCGATGACGGGTAAATGCAAGACGATGAAGGAAGTGAAATCACACGCTATTGCATCACGATGAATTTTGGTCTATATTCAGAGCCTTGCAATTACACTTTCTAGATCGTCAGTGCGATTGAAATCGTTTTGTGTACATGATACTATACCAGATTGTAATTATGTAAACAAATCATTACAAATTTATGATCAATTACCGAGAATTACATGCATTCATGAACCCACCCGCGGTCGGTAATCTAAGGCAAAATGGCGGCCACTATTAAAAACACACTGATTAACAACTGTTTTCAGAATACAAATACTACAAAATCAGAGATATGGGTTCAATATAACCACAGGTTGCAATAGGAAACATATAAATGAACAATTTGGTTTAGTCCGTATGTCAAAATAATCTATTTATTAGCAAGATAAGTAGATCTCGATGGCGGGTGTGAAGCCATAAAATAATTCAAGTTGGCAACGATGTATGTTTACTATAAACTTTCGCATTCTGCGACATTTCTCTGGTATTCGACACAACAAACATTATTAAATTTAAACAGAAGTATAGCAAAGATCACTTATTTGAAATCCGGACAATATAACTGTACAGATAGCCCAAAGTGTATCACTTCTGAACGGCAATCAATTTCTTCTATGATTGAAGCGGTGG